GGACTAGAGTCCACTTAAAGGACTCCAAGTTCTGTGTTCTTTCCAACATCTACTGTAAACTGTTCTTGGACAGTATTGGCTCATTTTGTTACTAAAGCTGAAAAGGCCAAAAATATGCTGGAGGGAAGCCTATAGTAGTTTTAATAATAAATTACAAACTATTATCTTCCATGTGGACAATGTCCTGACCGCTGTAGCGTTTTTTTTAAAACTTGGCCTCGTAGCTTGTAGATATGTAAGATCGGTCTTGTTAACAAAGGCTCACAAGCACGACTGTGTTCAGAAGGCTGGGTCCGCGTGGCTGCCGGCGCAGACACCTGCAGCACACAGTCCCGGGTCCCAGGCAGCGGCCCTTCCCTTTCACCAGGAGGTGCGCCCCTGACCCGTCCTTGGGCGACCGCCTTCTTGCACACCGAGCCACCGGGTGGTACAGTGCCCCCTGCAGGTGCTGTGGCAGATTATAAACAGGAGGAGGAATAATCTGGGTTCACAGGAAGTTTATGTCACTCAGATGATGAACTACACCTACATGCCTTAAATTTTGAAAAAGGAGAGGAGGATTAAGTAATTCAAGAGGATGGTGGAGAAACAAGGTGTTACAGTTCCCGAGAGCGACATATGCTGGGCAGCCCCCCAGACCAGTTTAGCGATGCCGCCAGCGCCCCTCTTGCCCGCGGCTGCTTTGAAAACAGCACAGCCCCCTGCGCAGATGCTCTGCTTGATGTGAGAAAACTCAGAAGCAGTTTTTGTTTTAGTTCTATTTTCTGGTTTTCTAAGAAATTCGCCAGCTGTAACCTTACTTCCTGTGGTTCGGTACACAAAACCCTTCTTTAAGAGAAAAAAAATTTTTTTACCTGTTTCATCAATAAGATAAACAAGTTGGGCCAGTTGCTATCAGATCCTTGTGGCCTCTAGAAACCTGGCATGTATGACTCTTCCATCATCCTAAATGTAATTACATGCAATATGTAATTACATGTAAATTGAATTTTTGAGACAGATGTATTTTAAAGCCTGGATTATATTTAATAAGTAGAACTTGCGGTTCAAGAGAAGCCTATTGAATATCCTTTTTTGTGCAAGTAGTACCCTGGTAGGCAGATATCATTCCTCTAGATGTGTTCATCTCTATCTTTTTGGAGGATTTTCTTTTCTTTTTTGTGGGGGTGGGAGGGAGGGGTTACCCAGCTAATTAGATTGGATTTCAGTCATACCCTCTCCAGAGATGAGAATTTAGAATCGCGTGTATAGATGCTTCCTTTCTACACTTAACTGCCATTTTCAGAAGCAAATACAGGCTTCCCTAAGCAAGTAGTTATTTTTCTGGGATGATTTACAAGAACATTACAGTATCTTGGTCTTTACGAAATAAACCTAAAACTGATCTGACCCATGCTTAAGTCTAATTCTCAAATGTATCAAGTATTTCTACAACCATTTCTTCCTTCTTCTTGAGACTTTTTTCTAGTACTTCCTCTTTCTGCTTGTATTATATTATATCTGGCAAGTGAATGGAGCTGCTAATAAAGCAAGATGAGAATCACTTATTATGCCTTAGAACAATGGTTTTCAAAGCCTGGTCCCAGGACCCGCAGCATCAGCAGTGTCTGGGCACTTGCTAGAAGTGTCTCACCCTATTAGGAACTCTGTGTGGTGCCCGGCAATCTGAGTTTTAACAAGCCCAGCAGGGGATTCTGTTGCACAATCCAATTTGAGAACTGCTGCCTCGAACACGCTACTGTAACTGTCCAACAGAAAGAGTCCCGGACTGGGAGTCAGGAAATTTCGGTGTCAACAGGGAAAAGTAGGGAGACTGCGCTACACAGACCCAGTGTGGCTCACACGTTTGCCAGGCTCATCATTCCCACCTCCCACCCTGACGAGGAATAAGGGCAGAAAGAGGCGGAAAGAGCAAGCCCTTTCAACAGGGTCATGCTGCCTGGCATCGAGGAACCAGAGGGACGGTCGTTTCCACCACCTCCCCCCGGCCGGCGCACCCCACAAGTCACTGGCCCTACAGAATTCTCTGTATGTTCTCTCTCTCTCTATAAATATATTCTCAACCCCTAAGATTGGCCTCACACCATGAACACTCAGGACCCGCTCGCCCAAAGTGTTGTAGAACAGATGGAATTTTAGTTCTTCGTCCTTCGAAGAGAATTGAAAGACGGAGGCAAGTAACGCGCTCCCCGCTCTTATCAGGAAAGTCCATTTCTCGCCTTCAACGCCACCCACCCCGTGTGAGCTTTGGATTCTCGCAAAGATCGTCCTTGTCCAGAACGCGGTGACAGCTCCATCCCGCAGCGACGAATGCAGCTGCCCGTGCGCCAGCTCCCCCTTGGCTTTGGAAGCAGGAACACGGGCCTCCTGCCGCGGCGCACACCGCCCGCGCCACACTGGGTTTCCGGGAACGCTGTGATGCAGGACGCTCCGTTTCACTGTAACGGGTTCCTTAATGCAGCCCATCCCTGAACAAAGCAACTGAGGAAAATTTGGCACCAAACAAATAACTTTGCTTTGCCCAACACAAACTGTCTTATGAGGTGAACGTCTCCGGAAACTCTTCCAATGGTCAGACACTAGACCAGTGAAATGAACGCTAACCGTCAACGGTAAATGTGCTTCTGGTGTCGAGGCTGGCAAACAGCACCGCTTGTTAAGAAAATCATCGAACAACTTAATGCGCTTCCTGAAGTGCTTTCTAGTAGCGTTTTATTGTCTTAAAAATGAAGTGATGCTCATTTTTTCCAGAAGGGGGGGCGCTTTCAGGATTGTTAATGACTGAGTACATATATGGGTTACTTTAACCTGAAACGGGGCATATTTTAAAGATGTCGTTAATAGTTTGAGAGAACGTAATGTAAAGATCAGTGAGTACCACAAGCGCTTCGCAGCTGCTGCTGCTGCTTCCAGGAGTAACTATTCAGTTGTCAGTGTTCGGTTGTTCCGTGGCCGTACGATAAGCTCCCCGGCGAGCACAGGACGATGAGTAAGACACAGCCCATTCCTCATCAGTGGAGATAACCCTAGAACCCTCACCAGGGTTCCGCGTGATGCTTGTAACAGACGTACGCTGAGATGCTTCCAAAGCAGCCGCATCAAGGTGGGGGGAAGGGAAGACTTCACTGGCATGAGTCTTAAAGGAGGGAGAGCACTTCTCGCGGATGAATGAAACAGCACTGAGCACCTAACTGCATGTAACATCATGCTAAAGGCCGTAGGAGACAAGTTCAGGGGGTGTGACCTCCGGCTTCTAGAAACTTCACAACAAAGGAGAAGATGATGCAGGTACGAGACTCAGGACATAAGCTAAATAAATGTGGCCACGTTCAATGAAGATGCGCGGGGTGCGAGCGGAAGGACAGTGCGGCTCCACGGTCACAAGTAAAAAGAACTCGGGAGGATCCTTCCCGGTAGGGAACAGACAAAACAGTTCAGGTAGTCACAGCGGCCAGCAGACAGGCTGCAAAAAGAGGACTTATTTGTCTTTTCAAACTTAATAACTGGTATTGATGGTTTAGTTTGGCTACTGTGCCGCTAAAGTATGTCTAGTTAGACTTTAAGAAAGTGAGTGCCCACCTAGTACCGAGCCTAGCAGAAGAGGTTAAATTGGAATTTGACCCCCACACCCAGGAAACCTTGCCTCTAAAGCCTCTTGGATATTTTTCAGGGGCGGGGCCAAACGGAACTCCGCTAATATCTATGAGTTTGCACCTAAGTGGCCCGTACTTGTACCATTAATCAACAAGATCTCTTTCTCATTGATTTTTCTTTGACAGTCTAGTTTTTTATAGCTTTGTGATTTTTTTAACATTTCGTAATTGTTTTCTTTAATTTTTCTATCTTCATTTCTTCATACCTGAGAAGGGACATTGGATTTAATCATGTTAGTGTTTCCGGTACAGAAAAAAATTCCCCAACATGACTATACTTCCAAAAGGTATTGTCCTGAAACAGTCACTGGGAGAGTTTTATCAAAAAAAGAAAGGTTGTTATGATTTGTACAACTTGTTGAATTTTGTTGGTTATAAAAATTACTCCCCAAGGAACTATATATGAAAGCAGGTACACACACAGTTCCTAACACGTCAGGAAGTAAATGGAGGGGTTCAGGACAAAAAGAGCATTGCTTGGTGCTGTCGAGATTCTCACATCTAGTTCACACCGGAATTTGTGGATTCGGCCCCCTCAGCTCTCAGAAGTGTGACCAACCAGAAAGCAAGCAACACTCCTCCGGAGCCTTCTCTCACTTCCTGTAGAGAACTCCCAAACCCGGACTCTCCGGTTTCCAGGGCCCTGCAAATTAGAAGTAAAATATAGAACAACTGGAGAAAGCTACTGCTGAAGGCAATGAGAAGTGATAACATTGTAACAGTAAGAAGAAAAGAGGGCGCCTGAGTGGCTCAGTGGGTTAAGCCACTGCCTTCGGCTCAGGTCATGATCTCGGGGTCCTGGGATCGAGCCCCGCATCGGGCTCTCTGCTCAGCAGGGAGCCTGCTTCCCTCTCTCTGCCTGCCTCTCTACTTGTGATCTCTGTCTGTCAAATAAATAAATAAAATCTTTAAAAAAAAAAAAAAGAAAAGAGGAAGGATACTATATAAAGGGAAATAAAAATTCAAAGAGCATCATTGTCTGAGGCCTAACCTCCCTTGTAAGTGCCTGGAGCAGCCATAGCATGACACGGCTCCCTCTGTACCCATCTCTGTTGGCTGAGAAACGCATGGCACACCTTCAGAGGGGCTTTCAAATGATTTGGGGGTTTTGTTTTAGTATTGGGGGGCAGCTTCTGTTTTGAGAAAGATTTGCGTGTGACAAAATCCTTCATTTTTGTCTCAGAATGTTGGCTGACAGGTGACAGTGTCAGAACCATGACAGCAGGCAACCGCCGCTGCTGGCCTGTCCCCGCATGGGCATGTGTGTGCTGACGCTGTGTGTCTCTGGGGCGACCTTCTGCTAGATATTCTACTTGTTTCTTTACCTTTCTCTTTCTCTCTTTCTAGCCGGAGACCACCCCCATCACCAACTCGTCCCACTATAATCCGTCCACTAGAATCCTCCCTGTTAGACTAAACGAAGTGTCTGGCCTGGCAATTAATTACTAATGAATTATGTGAAAGCAACATATTTGATCAGTAAATCACGAGTAGTCGCATGTGCGGACATCAGTAGGCAAGTAACCCGTTTTACTAACGCATTCGTCACTCATCGTCGTCGCTCATGGTGTATCAGACCTTCGAAGTTTGACTCTGGAAAACTGCTGACCCTTCGAGGCTTTAGATGTTGTACTGACCAAGGGTAGGTCTGTATAGCAGCCCTATATTTTGAGAGCCCGTTTGCCTACCCTGGCGTATATTTGAAACTGCTTTGGACAAGTTCCTAGGTTACCCACCAGGTAGCCCATTAAGTGTGATTCTTAAGAGCTTTGAGACGGGCTTAGACCTAAGCCATACGTGTATTTACTTTCCCACATCCTGTTTTGGCTGATAGAAATTATGTTGTCTATCGTGAATGTTTCCTCCTACTCTAATGACCTATTTAGATCCTCTTTCCATTCTCTTTATTTCATAGGACTGCTAGGAAGTGATTTTTTTTTTTAATTAGGATTCCTTAAGAATAGACTTTTCCAGAAGCACAAGGTAGTTTGCAGAGGAAAAGTTAACGCATTGCTTGCTCTAGAGAGCTTCTCCTCATCCTGACGTGTTTTGCTTCATGCTCGAAGCATATTCAACAGCGAATCAAAGCTTAATTTTCTGGTAGTCGGTCAGAAGATTTGGCTAGTTAGTTTCAGAGTTCAAGGAAGAAGCAAAATGTCACATCTCTAGAAGTGTCTGGAAATACCTAATTTCTTTATTCACATATATATTTACCTCCCTGTAGGTTACGGTGAAGGCTGACATGGGAAATATTTAACATCCCACACCGATCGAGATGTAGGCGTGGCTAACTCCACTGTGACATGAACTGTAGTGTACTTATTTACGTGGCTGGAGCAAGTTTTTCTCTTTCCAAGCTAATTTGTAATTCCCTCGTGTAAGAATTCATCCTACCTTTAAAGCCGGCTTAACGAACTTTCCATCCATTCTAGGCTTGCTTAATACATCTTGAGCCTTGCTCTGGGATGGCCATTTTTAAAGGGGGCCCTGGAATGAAAATAAAAGTCGTTTCATGAGGGATGCCATGCTTCAAGTGCAGGAGCTCACGCTCTACAGCTGTACCTCAGAGTCTCTGCACAGGTCATTCCAAAAGATGGAACTAAGACACTGAGATCTAAAGCAACCTGGCAAATGCTAACACTGCAAAAATTTACAAAATCGGTTTAGCCAGGGGGTTAATAGTTCAGTCCTGAGGCTGAGCTGTAGACGAAGTAGGACCAGGTGATCAGCATGTAGGAAACAGCCAGAAGCCGAGTGGAGTGCTGTCTGCTGACTGTTCCCAGACAGCAAGTCCTCACTGAACGGCGGCGTCCCAGGACACTATTTCATATTCCACAGAAGTAAATCAGGTTTCACCAACTGAAATGTCTCCCTTTGAAAGCAGCAAACATGATTTGTATGTTCACTTAGCTTTAATTTCCTGTGTACTTTATACCCAAAGCAGACACCCATAAAGTATGAAGGAAAAACTTTCAGCCATTATTAAAAAGAGAACTTGCCAAGTGGAATGGCATTGTTTCGAAGTTATAAGGGGCTACAGCTACCCCACTTGTAGTAGGCAACCATCAGAGACTATGAGATTTATAAAAAGAACTTTTCAACTTTTAAGTTACAAGTGATTCTGTAAAGACCACCACCCCAAGTCACCAGCCTGAATCTTCTCTTTTTTCTCCCCCTCATTTGAAAAAATTCTTAACTCTTTGTGAATGGAACAGATGTGCAAAGTACGTAATGTGTTTTTAAAAACAGTGCTGCCGCTAAATGGAAACGTGTTACGTAAATGTCCACAGTAAAACAAAATGATCTACGAGATCTTTTCATAAAACTCCCTCTTTCGGACTCCCTTTGCTTCTTCCTTTGAATTCTCTAAAACAGGCAGCTAGAGGATTATATACTTCAGGGTTTGGCTTTGTGCTAAACGTGGTTTTGCCTTTTGCTGTATTTCAAAAATTTCCTTCTGTCAAAGGAAAATATTGTGGATAACCACTGGTGTGTTCTTAGATCAGCACAAACCATGTCAAAGAAAATTGGAGAGGTTTTTCCAACTTTTCTTTCCACTGATCTTCTGTAGTCGTAAACAATGGCATTTGTCGTCTCTGGCTTTTGCTCTTGGATTATGAGCCTGCAGTTCCCCTGTCCCGCTTGTCTCTGTAGGCACATTTTTGTTCTCTTACCTCTTCTCAGTTATGTCTAACAGAACCCAGCCTCCCCTGGAGTTCCAGAAGCACATTGGAGAATACTTTGTTTGCCGCAGTACTAGGATTAGTTTTAATACCATTTCGCAAAGGGTTTGCATCCTGCTAAAAGGAGATGTCCAGGTGAACGAAGTCAGAAGCTCTAAGATGTGTGCGAAGTGCGTTGTTCACGCCAGGCCCTAAGGTGGGAATGTAGCTTCATGAGCTAAGAGTTTCCCATACCACCTTTCATCTTTTGAGTAGCTTCCTCCTAACCAACCGCTCTGATGCCGTCTACACAACAGATGTTTAGCAAAATAAAACATACGGTATCTTTAGGATTTGGAAAAATTCACTGTGTATGCCTGTTTGATAGGTATGTCACTTCTTGTCACTTGCACGCTTATCGACTAATTGGAATAACTGTTTACTCAACTGTGGACAGATTATTGAAATAGTATCAATTTAGAGCAGATATATTGCATTTCCAGAAGTCATCTACCAAGATTGCTCTTCTGAATGTTGCTTTTAGCTGACTTTTGTAACACAGAAAAGCAGTAGGGCCTGTTTATTAGCCAATTGCCTACTTGTTCAGCAACAAACCCGTCCTGTTCCAAAACATGATGATGAAACCAGTTCCTGTGACAGAACTGTAAGCCTTCTAAACTTAGAATTTAAATGTAGTCATATAGATTAATTTTATGATTTTTTAGTATAGACTGTAGCCATAATTCTCAAATATGAAATGGGACCTAATACCAGTATGTGATAAATGTTGACGTTTCCTGTGTACATATTTTCAATGCATGTGTCTGTGTATACAGTATATACATGGGAAATTCATTTCTGTGAGTACACGTGTTTTGGTGCCCCTTTGGGTAGGTAGGTTTAAAAACCCTTGTTAAAATGCCACAAGCATGTGTGATTGTGTGTGCATTGTGTATATATGCTACATGTGGGTGTAAATATTTATGTATACATGTGCTTTGTGGGGGTGGGTATGAATATATTTTTTAAACTGTGTTAATTCAAGAGCTCACTCTGGAGGGTCTGCTAGAATACGTAACAGAGGTTCGTAGAACCGTGATAACATACGTGAGGTCTCCAAAATGTCTTCCAGGACAGGCACAATGCTCAGAATTACCATGACAGCATCCACAGACATTTGTACCTAGGTCCACAGCTCTGCTTATCTAAGGAGAAATGTCCTTTGCCAAATACAGTGTAAGATCAGGAAACCCATTTCTAAGAACTCTGATTGGAATTATAAATGATTCTCGGATTGCTGAGCTGAATCTTAAAAAGCTTAAATTGGTCTACATAGTCATTTTTTTCCTCCACAGTAAATGTCAAAAAATAAAGTGGAGGGATACTGAAATGTAATAAAAAGAGCGGGCTCTTCTGAGTAAATTCGCTAAACATGCAGAGAAGTTGTTACTTAATACCTCAGTGGTAGGTCATCCATCCCTTGTTTCAGGTAAATGTTTCTCATTTGGCAAACAAGATAAATATTTGAAATTGACAGTTATCTCCTTAACATTGAGAATACGACCTAAATAGGAGGTCTCTGTATTGTGGAATCCAGTTGAAGGAGAGAAGATGTAAGACTCGGGTTGAGTTTTACGTCTGCTTCACCAAGAGGACTGCTAGCTGTGAGCTCAGAGTTTAACGTGAAGAACGCTAGATGACTGTAGAAAAATACGTGATTAGTTCCCTAGATCACTCACTCCTTTCTTAGAAGGTTCGATGTGTCTCCTAGATAATCTTAAGTCATCCCGTCCAGTTGGTATGCTTAAAATCATGCGGTGCTCTGTATTGTGAAACCTTCAGAATATTTTGAAGCATGTGTAGCATATGCATTGCTAGTTGTACATATGTGTAAGAATGTGTGTATGTGTGAGAGCGAGAGAGGAAACTCAAGGAAGAGTCTCCTGTTTGTCTTAAGACCTGTTCGTACTGGTATACCAGTGAGACTTCTCACCTCTCGGGTCTGGGGTTTCACACGTGGCTCAGCTTAAGGCTTTCATTTCTTCTTAATTTTTTACCCTTTGAATTCCTTAAACTTTGCTCATTGTGTAATGTTTTCAAAAAATATGACAAAAAATTTACTCTGTTGACCTCTTGCACTGTCTGCTGCCAGTTTGATAAAAAAAAAAAAAAAGATGCTTCTCAACCAGAAATTTCACCGTGACTTATGTTTAATTTCATATGTACAGCCTCTGTGTTGCTTGCTCGTCTGTTTCTTTTTTCTGAATCAAATTCCCCTTTTGCTTTTTTATGAAGAAGCTGTGTGTAGAAGCAAAATCTTACCTTCTCTGTTGATTCTTTCATTAATTTGAGCCAGAACACTCTCCGCTGTCTTCTTGGCACTTTCAGGATTTCTTAATGCTGATATATGGATGGACTCTGTGAATGGAATTTTTGAAGCAAGTTCCTCAAGCCTGTACCATTCTTGAAGGTCACATGTACCTATTGTGAAAATGTGAAGCTGTATTTCTGAACCTGAAATAAATGGTAACATTTGAAGGACTCCCCCCTTCTTCATTCTTGTATAATATATTTGGGTCATACCTGTGCATATCAGTAAGATCTGAGACTTCTGAATACTTACAAAATTGGCCCAGAATTACCAAAACGGGGAATAATAGCATTTGGCATTACTGTCATTAATTTGAGGGAGGACAAGATTTTTAAAGGGAGCAAATTGGACAAATCAAAGACAGGAGAGTAGGAGAGATTTCATTTCTGATTCAAACTCCGTGTTGGACTAGGTTACAAAAGGGCACAAGCCTTAGCCAGTTGGAGGGTGCAGTGTGACAACTGACAAGAGGCCCCGTCTCGTTTTGCCACCGAAGAGGAAGTGTTCATGAAAAACCCTGGAAGCAGAGGGGGTAAGGACACTCTGCCCCCATGTCAGGTCCACAGAAGGCATTTCTTACAGAAAGCAGTCGAGCTCTTGACTCAACTGTTGGCCTTCATGCACTTATTGGGCATCAAAGGGAGAAGTTACCCCTTTAGTTTCCCTAATAGTAAGGGAATGGAAGAGTAGAGTGCTACACAGTAGCTATACACATCCTTGTCCTCAGTTTCCAGAACACAGAGAAAGACTCTCTATTACAGAGTTTTGATGACAGGTCCCTTACCAATGTACGTAGTCCCAGATTGAGCGTCCATCCAAAAGCAGGAGACAAGCGAATGGGAGGAGAACGCTGGTTTACTTTCCCTCTGTGTTCAGGATACATTCACTGGGAAAAGATGAATTGCAAAGGCTGTTGTATTAACTCCTGCTTTCCTGTTGTAATTTCTTCTTCGTATCACAACATCTTCCAAGACTGGAGCCATTAATGCATCCAAAGGAAGCTTTTTACCAAAAGAGGAGGAGAATCCTGCTGTACACTTGTGTTGCGGGGGGGGGGGGGTGCGTGCATACGTAGGAGTTCTACTGCATGATTCTTATTCAGAATAGTTTCTAATGGAAATTACCCAAACCAACAGACCTTATTTGGCAAACTACTTATTTGGTAACTGTTTGGCAAATTACCATTTGTATTTTTAAAATAATTCTGGCATCAGTGTAAATATCTTCTCAGTTGTCAAGATTCTTGTTTTTCTGCTGGAATCTTTAAATTTCAGATTGAGAAATCTATCTGGAGTTTGGGTCAGATGGTTCCCAGACCCACCACTTCGTACTTCAGCGCACACCTGGCATTGCCACGATGCAGATCCTTT